TACCAGGAAGCCTCGTACACCAAGAGGCTGGGAGCGGAGAGAGAGGTAAGGCTCCAGGAAACACTGGCCGCTCCTAACAGGGCCTTAGAAGCTCAAGGACGCCGCTGCGGTCTAACTCCCACCCATAGCGCGTTCGGGGCAGGCTGCGGGAGCTCCGTGTGCTAGGGCCTCATGCCCTTCTCGCCCCCAGGTTGAAGTGATTGGGGGGGCGGACAAGTATCACTCTGTCTGCCGCCTCTGTTACTTCCGGAAGCGCCGCCAGCCGAGCGGGCCCGAGAACAAGGAGAACCTGCCCATGGGGGTCAAGCAGCTGGAAGCCACTGTCTCTCGCAAGGTGTTTGCTTCGTGACACGACTGATCCTGTGGCAGAGCCCAGCAGGCTGAGCAGGGATGCTAGGGGCTGTGCCGCCAGACTACTGTAGCGCTGGCTTCCCCTGCTCTCAGCACTGCCGCAGGGTCTCCCAAACCTAACTGCCACTTACCTGCACCGCGCTGCCAAACCGCATGGGGCCCTGGGGTGGACAAGAGGGAAGGGATGGAAAGGTGGGGGCAAGCCAGAACAGCAGGGAGGCCTTTTGGCAGGGGCAGGTGCAAGGATTTGGAGGCCACGGCTGACCCTGCTGGCCTCTAGCTCCTGTCCAGCCCAGCCCAGCCCAGCCCTGCCTGCTGGGAGCCTGCAGTCCCTTCACAGGGTTGCAGATCCTCGCAGTAATCAGCCTGCAGCACTTCTGCCTCTTGCCTGTGTTCTCGCAGCCTGGCCCTGTTCCTAGCCAGCCTGGGGGGTGCGGCGGGGGCGTGCTGGCTAGTCTTCCAGCCTTAACCCTAACCCTTGTCCTTCCACCTGAACATCAGGTTCCCTTAAACACTGCCTAAGCAGCTGTCAGTCTCCGCGCCAACAAGCCCTGAGGCTCTTCCCTTTCCCCTCTCTGTCACATTCCAGGGGTCCCGCTTACAGCCATTTCTCCCAGCTGAGTTTAGCGAGCCCTGCACTTCACAGCAGGTCTGAACATGTTTTTCCTCATGCTGCGCTCGTTCCTCTTGAGAAATGCAAAGTTTCAGGCTTGGCTTTTTATTGTTAGTAACTTAGGGCCAGGGCTCTGCTCCTGCTGTCATCTCAGGCTGGGAAACAAAGCCTGTCCTTGGAGGGCAAGCAGGGTTCTGCGCTAGACTGCAGAAAGCTGCCCTGGGTGAAGTGGTGCTGGCAGAGGTGCTAATGAGCTGCATCTGGTCAAGTGAAGCCCAGTCTTGCCAGGCTGCTTCACATAGACCCAGGTGCCTTAGGACCTGAAGTCTGCACATTAGCCCGTGGCCGCAAGGGAGTGTGGGTCCGTGCTGGTGTTGGCCTTGCTGGGCTTCTCCAGCAACGGCACTGGTCCTTCCCTCTCTCCACACTAGCCTTAGGCTTCCCCAGGGCTGAGAGACTAACCCAGGAGTTAGAGCTCCTCTGGCTTCAGTATCTGTTGCTTGTAGGAACTGGCCTTCTCTCATTTCCTTGCCTGCTGGACCTTATACGAGTATCTTGGGCCTGTTGCTTCCCTACTGCTGTAGCAGCCAGTCAGGCCAGCCACCCTTTTCTTCATCACCTCTGACTGGCCCAGCGTCCTCAGGTAGCCAGGGTTTTGCAGGCTGGACTCACTGCTGTGGGCAGAGACCTGAGAGTAAGCCTTGCTGCATCCCAGGAAGCTCTAACCCATGAGCAGTTCCTGCCCTGCCCCAGGAGCACAGAGGCTGCTGCTTTCAAGCCTCTACCAGAATGCCCTGCAGGGCAGTGTTTCTGCTGCCAACGCTGCACTTTTTCGAACCAACCCCACCCCAGAGGCATGGAGATAACTCGAGAGATGCTTGTGACAGGAAGCCTGCAACTGCCCCCTTCTGCTTGCTGTCCTGGTGACACCCGGCTCTTCCCTTGCTGGTGGCAGCTGTCCAGGGAGGGCGGAGGTGCCTGTGGCACTGCCACAGTTTTAGATTAATAAATAACTTATGAAACAGACTGGTGTGTGTGTGCATGCGCATGCGCCTAGGCCTCCTGCAAACAAGGCTGCAGGGGGGGAGAGGGCGGCCCAGGCCCAGCCTGCTGGCAGGCAGCGCAGTCCTGTCCCGTGGAGCTTGTTTATCACAGGACCCGTCTGTTTGCATAAGCCCTCCCTCCACGCTGGACTCTGGCCCCGGAGGAGCAGGAGGGGGCAGCATGGCCATGCTAAAAATAAGCTCCTGGATGAGTGTGCAGTTCCCTGCTGTTGTGGCAGAACTCACGCTCGTGCTTCAGGGAGGCACTCGGACACCCCTGGTTGTTGGGGCTGGGGGCGTCTGTCCCATCCCAGCTCGAAAGCTAGGCCCCCTGCCTGCCCCTTTCCCACACAGGGCAGCAGCAGCGTAGCCCATGCAAGAGCCCCTTGTGCTCCCCCCCACCACCGGCACTGTCACCCAGGGGCTGAGTGAAAAAGTTTATTCCATCTCCACACCGTGATAACATACATTTCAAACACTCAGCCTGGGCCTGGGGTACAAGTGCCGCAGCAGAAACAGTTCACACAACAACAGGTGCGCTCCGGAGAACAAGCACAGCCACCTGGCAGCAGCTGAGCACAAGGGGCACCGCTCCAGCCCAGAGAAGCAGAGAACAGCAGGCTTTGCCAAGCCCCACAATGCCCGAAGGCACACGGACAGGTTGGTTCTGCCTGGCGCAGGCTGCGCAGTAGGAAAGCCAGGTCAAGAGCAGAGGGCCGTATGCCGAGCACCCTGCTCTGGGTCACCTCCGTAGCAGCTGCAGCCCCAGGAGACCAGGCTTCCCTCCCACCCCCGAATGCTGGAAACCCTGGTTCTGATCCGAAGGGAGCGCGGCCAGGCCAAAGTCGCAGCCTGTGTTCAGCCGGAGAGTTTAACACGGCTTTGGCACCGAGCCCACCAGCAGCAGCTGAGGGAAGGGAAGAAGGCGCAGGACCCCTCACAGCTCCAGGCAGCTTTGTAGCTCCACTTGGGCTCTGCTGGCCAAATACCAGAACCCCCCTCACCCCCAGCCAGGTGGGGCCGGACAATAAGACACTTCCCGCAGGAGTGTGAAGGCAGTGCTACAGGGAGCTAAAGGCAGTGCTACAGGGAGCTAAAGGCACCAGGGCTGGGGCTGCCCCATGCCTATAGGCACTTGGTGCTGCCACACATGAGGCCAGGGCTGGGGCTCCATTAAGCTCTCAAGAGACAAGACGACATGCCGTGGGGAGGGGAAGGCAGCCATTCCCCCACCCCACCCCAGCACAGCAAAGGAGGGAAGGGAACAAAGAGGGACAGGGGCAGCCAGCCCCTCCTCACCACAGGCTTGAGCTTGGCTCTCAAGTCACCACCCACCACCCCACCCAGCAGCCCATCCCTGAGCTTTGGAGAGTCCCACCCCAGTGCAGAGGCTGGGCAACCTCTCCTCGGGCACACAAGCAGCAGAGCCCCGGTGCCCCCACGTAAAGCAGCAGCCACCCCCATCCCACCCCCCCTGCAGAAAGAATTGCACTTGCAGACACTTCAGCAGCCCAGGCTCAGTATGTAGGTGGGGGCTGGTAGCCCTCCGTGCCCTCCCCGGCCTGGGTGAAAGGTGGCTGCTGGTAGCTGTCCTGGCTGACGTTGGGGTAGCTGGAGTAGGGAGTGGACGGGTCTGGGGTAGGGTCCACGTAGCTCTGGGCAAAGTCATCCACACCCATCTGGTACCTCCGGAAGGCGCAGGCGATCAGGAAGGCCTGGGGAGACAAGCGCTGCTGGCAGGGGTCCTACATGTGGCCCGGCCAGGCTGGCATGGATGGAAAGCACCCCCAGCCCAGACCAAAGCCTCCCCCGGTCAGGCAGAGCAGGCACCGCTCACCCAGGAGAACACGGAGAAGAAGCTGAAGACGATGGCGGCGCGGGCCGAGTCGCTGCCCACGAGCACATCGGCGGGTTCTGTCCAGGCCCACTGGTTGGTCAGGAAGCAGAAGCCGACGAACCACAGGAAGGTCCAGATCCCTGGGAAGGGGGCGCAAGCGATGGGGGCTCAGGACAGGCCTTGCCCCGCACGAGGGAGCCCGTCCCCCTGCACCACCTGCCCAACGCGCTCAGTGGCATCTGGCACAAGCCACTGCCTCTCAGGGCTCCACGCCCCCCGGCCCCCAGCGCACCTGGGCCAGCCAGGCCCCACAGGGCCAACCTTGCCTCCGTGCTAGGAGCAGCAGCTGAAGCCAGGCTGCACTCTACGGGCACCGTGCCAGGAGATCAGAGCTGCACCCGGGCACAGAACAGGCCGCCAGAAAGCAACACGTCACCCCCGGAGCGGGACAAGGGCAGCCATTGTCTGCCAACTGGCTATGGTGTGGGCACAGCTGGGCCAGGCCTGTGCTCCCCGGCCTCGCCTGCCTGCTGGTACCTGAGAAGGCGAGGTCGGCCAGGACCAGGTACTTGCGATCCGTGACGTTGCTGATCTGGGGGAAGTAGAAGTCGACCAGGAGGAAGAAGACGCAAGCCAGGAAGCCGAGGACGCCAATACCAACGCCGTAACGGCAGGCGTCCTGGTTGTGGTTGAAGACACAGAAGAGCTCGGAGGAGTGCGGCTTGTTGGTGTAGCCCTCGCCGATGATGCAGGAGAAGACGACGAGCGCGAACACCTGGGCAGCCACGGGCCTGGGTCAGAGCAGGGCCACCCCTCTCGCACGCCCTCCCTGGGAGGCTGCAGGCCCAGCACAGACCAGCGGCAGCCTTAGGGGACAGCGAACCGGGCGCCTGTGCTGGGCCCCACGCTTTAGGGGGCCCCACGCTTTGCACCGCTGCTTTTGGGGGGTGCAGGTATGAAAAGCTGTGTTCTTCCTTCAACTTAGGAAGGCGCGCCAGGGGCGGGGCAGCGGGGCAGGCAAATCGAAAGTGTCCGACCTGCTTATGGGTCATCCGGACTCGGCCTCCGAGCGACTCAGCGCGGCCC